CCTTCATTCCTCTCCTCTCATCATTCATTAACTCTTCTCTCCTCTCAGGATTCCTTTACTCCTCTTTTCTCCCTGTATTCTTTTACTCATCTCTCCTTCAGTTTTCTCCCATTCGTCTCTCCCGTAGTGTTAAGCTGCCTTACACTGACTTGGCATATTAATCCAAGTGCTCCATGTAGTTCCCTATTGTTCTCACAAGAGCAGGGGTTTGACTTTTAGCTGAAGTGAGGCTTGATTGCATACTGACAAATAGTGTTCATGGGAGTAGCTGCAGTTTCTTCTAACTACCAAATAAATGCAAGAGTGAAATGAGAGTATCCACATGATTTTGACGATTTTAAAATATTTTTTTTAATTTATTTTTACTTATTTACAAATACTTTTATAAAAAAAAAAGAAATTATATATATATATATATATTTATTTTTTTTAATTTAAATTTTTTCTGCAGTGTATCAGTATAAATCTGTGATATACCAAAAGATTTTCATTCTAAGAGCTGTTAACAAAACAGCATCCTTTGGTGAAATCTGTAGTAAAGTGTTTTCTATACTCCAAGATTGAGCAAAAATCCTGCTTATGTTCATTTCTTTCTATGAGCTTTATAAAAAAATGGTATCCTTTGCAGTCAGGTAGTGAGATCTGTTCTAATGTTTTTGCTCCCAGACTGATTCAAAATCCTTCTTACATGAAGTTTTTTCTAAAAGCATTATAAAAAAACAGCATCCATTGTAGTCAGGTAGCGAGATCTGTATTTTTTCAGATTATTTGTTTTTTGGTTTTTTTTTTTACGAACCACCAACCATGAATTTGCACAACTGGTTAAAACAAGGAACTATCAAGAGAAAAATGTTTACTACTTCTAATTGTTCGACAATTTTATAAACTGAGAAATATGATACAAGAAATCGAGAAAACAAGTCCAAAATAGTTGAATCTACTGTTCCTCAAATAGCAGAGACAAGCGACAAGTCAAAGAAAAAAAAGACAATCACACAATGCTACCCAATCTTCTTATGAAACAAAGAAAAGAAAATATGACGACAGCTACTTAAAATTTGGATTCACAAGTGCCAGAAATAAAAATATACCTCAAGCACAATGCTTAGTTGCCAAGAAAATATTGCCAAACAGTTTGTTAGCACCTGCTAAATTATGTCGTCATTTTGAGAAAAACCACCCAGAGTACAAAGACATTGCCTTTCTTAAGCGAAAGCTTCAGGAGTGTCATAAGACTAAACAGTTTTAAATTATAAATATTTGAAAATAATAATAAAAAAGCCACTTATTAAAAGGTTTGTGCGACGGCACAAATTTCTTTTCGGGGGTTCCACAATGTTGGTATACTATGTCAAAGGGTTTCACAGGAAAAATTAATTGGGAACTCCTGCACTAGTCCCAGGTGTAATAACGACATTTATGCCAAATCCATATTGTAATACATGTTTACATTCCCATTATAGCTCAAATGTCATTTTTTACGACCGTCTCATGCTTCCTGTCACAAATCTATCTTGAGTTCTAATTGAAATTTTCCCTATGTAACAGGGATTACTTATTAAGACAAGCCCTATGTAATAAAATTTAATTAGAGTTGTAGTAATGCTGCTACTTGGGAAGAGGTAACCCTAGACTTCATGAGGCCTTAGTCAAACTTTAACCCCTTAAGGACACATGACATGTATGACATGTCACGATTGCCTTTTATTCAAGAAGTTTTGTCTTTAATGGGTTAAAGGGACACTATAGTCACCAGAACAACTACAGCTTATTGAATTTGTTCTGGTGAGTAGAATCATTACCTTCAGGCTTTTTGCTGTAAACACTGTCTTTTCAGAGAAAATGCAGTTTTTACATTTCAGCCTAGTGATAACTTCACTGGCCACTCCTTAGATGGCTGTTAGAGATCCTTCCTGGGTCATAGCTGCCTAAAATGCATCAAAACATTCAGTATCTCCTCCCTCTGCATACAGACACTGAACTTTCCTCATAGAGATTCATTGATTCAATTCATCTCTATGAGGAGATGCTGATTGGCCAGGGCTGTGTTTGAATCATGCTGGCTCTGCCCCTGATCTGCATATGAAATTCCCTGAAAAAGGCTAAAACAAATGCAGCTTTCAGCCAATCCTATGGGGAAGCATTGTGATTGGATAAGGCCACCACTTCTGATGATGTCAGCAGGCAGCTTGTTTTTCTGAGGCAAACAGCATGCAGATCTACAGCTTCAGGCTTGAATACAAGTAAGATTTTGCTATATTTAGGGAGGCATGAGGAGTCCAGGGGCGCTAGATGATGGATTTAACACTGTAGGGTGTTCCTGACCCTATAGTGATTCTTTAAAATGTATTTATTTATTCAACCCCTTAGTGACCGCAGAAGTATCAGGTACGTCCGACAAAAAAAGGTCAGTAACGACCTCGGATACTGGAAGCGCTCTAACGGTATTGCAGCAATGCCTCGATGTCGAGGCATACTGCAATACCTCCCCTGACTGCCGGGCCACCGGGTGATCTCCCAGACCAATCACTTCAGTGTTGCCCGACGTGGTGCCCAACAGGGTAGCAGAGCATCGGAAGCAATCAGGCAGGCTTCCGATGCTCTGCCTGTCTCCAGAGTGCCTCGAGGGGTCAAGGTACTCAGTAAAAATAAGATAGTAAAACAATTTTTTTAATATAAATAATAAAAATATACATATAAGTAATAACCCCCCCCCCCAGGACCTCAGACATACCTAGTACATTCCTAATTACTATCCTGATTGCCGCTGTTCCCCCGCCGTTAATCAGTCTTCCTCTCCATCTGGGAGGACTGTCTGACAGCCTAGACAGTCCCCCCTTGGCAAATTAGGGCCCCATGGGCCATGTGATTGCTCTAAAAGAGCGGTCACATGGCCGCAATAGGCATCCATAGTATTGCCTGCAGAGGGACTATCCGAACTGCCAGGCAGTCCCCCTACTGGTTAAAAAAGTTTTTTTAAAAGTTTTCAAATAAAAAACTAATGTTAATAAATAAAAAAATAAAATAATATATATACATATATCAGTGAAAGTGATGCTTTGTGCATTTTTCACACACAAACAGCACTTTCACTGATGATATTGTTGTGATACGTTTTACTGTTTTGAAACACTAATATATGTCTTCAGCGAAGCCTCCCGAATATCACAGTACCCCCCTTGTACAGGTTTTATAATGTTTTTGAAAGTTACAGGGTCAAGTATATGGCTTGATTTTCCATTTTTTCACATTGAAATTTGGTTATGTTGGTTATGTTGATTTTGAGAGCGTATGGTAGACCAAGAATGAGAATTACCTCCATGATGGCATATCATTTGCAAAAGAAGACAACCCAAGGTATTGCTAATGGGGTATGTTCAGTCTTTTTTAGTAGCCACTTAGTCACAAACACGGGCCAAAGTTAGCGTTCATAATAGTTTTTGGCATTTTTAACATACAAACAAATATAAATGCTAACTTTGGCCAGTGTTTGTGTCTAAGTGGCTACTAAAAAGGACTAGATAGACTACTTATAGCCCTATAACTTGCAAAAAAAGCTAAGATCATGTTAACTTTGGGCATTTCTAAACTCAGGACAAAATTTAGAAACTATTTAGCACGGGTGTTTTTTGGCGCTAGTAGATGCGTAACAGATTATAGGGGTCAAAGTTAGAAAAAGTGGGGTTTTTTACATTTTTTCATCATAGTTTATAAAAAAAATTATAGTAAATTATATGATATGATGGAAATAATGGAATCTTTAGAAAGACCATTTAATTGCGAGAGGTATATAATATGTGTGGGTACAGTAAATGAGTAAGAGGAAAATTACAGCTAAAACACCGCAGAAATGTAAAATGAGCCCTGGTCCTTAATGGTAAGAAAATTGAAAAACAGTCTGGTCACTAAGGGGTTAAACAAGATGTTTTTTTTTTTGTTTTTTTTTTTAACATATTCATGACAAGGAATAGATAACTAATTTTATGTCATGACAATCCTGAAGGGTTCAGTTCATTTGGTTCAAATAAGCAGTTTACCAGACAGCAGTGTAAATAATTCAAAGTACAGATATATTGGATGATAGAAATCAATATATGTGATTAGACTCTCAATGTACAATAACAATCTACATTCACTACTGTTATGCATACATAAAGAAATAGTGAATAAACTTAATTCAAAGACACGAGCAACTCTTTGTGGGGGATTCCTTTTCACAGCTTCCAAGTCAACTTTATTTAAATATAATTTAAAATCATAATTTACAGCAATCATGTCCCAAAAAATAAAATAGGGTGAAAACGGAAAGAAATGCCAAAAATGTCAAACTCCACAACCTTCAAACAAAAAATATTGAGGCTGCTGAGCTTCGACACTTATTCCGCATATTACTTATCATATTGTTCCCAACAAAGCACAAGAAGGGAGATGTCGCCGGGTCTTTGTTCATCGTTGTTCTGCTATCTTGATGGGGTGTGGGAGGATTACTGCACGTACGGCGGTCTGGCGTGGTGGGAATACGATGAGCAATTCTGGCAGCGACTTGCGGCGGACCCTGGGATGTGGTGGGACCAGATGGACCTGCCTCTATGGATGAAGCTTTGATGGCACAGAAGTCGACACCCTTTCAGTCGGCAGCCAGTACTGGAAGTCAGTCCTCTTAGTTGGCCGCGTTCAAGTGAGGTATTTGTTAGCTCTTCAATAAGGGCCAGTGCAAGTGGGGCACCGGGTGTAGGTTTAAGCATTAATGGTCTGGCTGTGGGGGTACCCATGGCCTCTACAGATGTTTTAAACAGGGTAAGACCAAGGCCTCTTCCGGAGCGGGTTCCGGTGGGGCAGTTCCCGTTTCCATGGGGATCAACGCCAGTGAAGCTCGATGTGATGTTACCATGGCTAAGCCACTACGGTAACAAGTCAGATGCGGTGTTGTTGCGAGTGGGCTTCGGGGAGAGGTTTTAAATCCTGTTTCAAGAAAGGGGGGGTCAGGTAGTGTGCGTAACTTGAAATCGGTCTTTGAATTCCCAAGATGTGGTGTGGGAGAAGGTGGGAAAGGAAGTGCGGCTGGATAGGATGGCGGGCCCGTTTACGTTCCTCCCCTTTCTCATTTTGCGGGTTTCTCCACTGGAGGTTGTCCGTAAGAAGGAACTGGGTAAGTTCCGCCTGATTCACCACCTCTCTTATCCTAAATGGACATCGGTGAATGACAACATCGACGGAGACCTGTGCTCAGTCTCTTATGCATCATTCGACCAGGCTGTTGAGTTGGTTAGGGAGGTCGGGACCGGAGCACTTATGGCAAAGGTGGATGTGAAGTTTACTTTTCGGTGACTGCCACCACCTTTTGGGTTGCGCTTTCGACAGTTCATATTTTTCCGACTTAAGCCTTAAGATGGGTTGCACGATTTCATGCGCGCACTTTGAGTTTAGCATTTTCTTGGAGTGGATGGTGAAGATGGAGGCGGGGTGTAGGTCGGTGGTCCACTATTTGGATGATTTCTTGTTTTTACCTGCTGCGGACCATTGAGTGGGTGGCGGATAAGTCCCTCTTGTGATGTCCAAGACAGGAGGTACGACCGCATGCCTGAGTTTCCTGGGCATTGATATTGACTCTCGAAAAGGGGAATGTTGTCTTCCTCAGAATAAGCTGCTGGTGTTGCGGGCTGTGGTGGCCAAGGTGTGTCAGGCAAGTAAGGTAACGCCGCAGCAGCTTCAATCGCTCATGGGGAAGTTGAATTGCTTGCAGGGTGGTGCCTATGGAGAAGGTTCTCAGTAGAAGTCTGGCCAGGACCACAGTTGAAATCCGTTTGCCTCATCACTTTGTTATGTTTACCTCTGCTATGAAGGCTGACCTGGAGGTCTGGGATGTGTTCCTGTGGGGGTTTAACAGGATGGTGATTTTCAGGCAGGCGGTGCTTGCGGCTGCAGATCTGGAACTGTTCATGGATGCTTCAGGCAGCATTGGCTTCGGGGCGTACTTTGGGATGATGGTGTGTGGCGTCGTGGCCGATGGCGTGGGTGGCGAGCTCCTTGATGCGTAACTTTTCTTTTCTCAAGCTGTTTCTGCTACTAGTGGCACTATCGCTTTGGGGTAATTTGCAGAGGGATCGAAAAGTGCTTTTCCACATGGACAATATGTCCGTGGTGCATGCGGTTAATCGGTTATCAGCGTCTTCTGCTCCGGTAGTGCGGCTTTTGTGTAAATTTGTCCTTATGTGCATGTCTCTCAATGTGGTTTTCAGCGCATGGCATGTCCCTGATTACTTGAATATTGTGGCTGATGCTTTGTCTCGCTTTCAGTGGTCCCAGTTCCACAAGGCGGCACTTGAAGCGCTGGAGGAGCGGGAGAACTGTCGGAGAAGATGTGGTGGCCTGCTTGGGGGACTTGTGAAGGCTTCCTTGGCTCCTAGCACTTTGTGATCCATCAGGTTTTGAAGGGGTTCCGGAGGGGGCGTAGGATTCCAAATGCGCGGCGGCTGGTGTCTATCAGTGTTTTGGGGAGCCTGGTGCGGGTGCTGCCTTAGATTTGCTTATCTGGCTATGAAGCTGGCTTGTTTGGCGCTGCATTTGTTTTAGCCTTTTTCAGGGAATTTCATATACAGGGGTGGATAGGGTGGTGATTCACTTATTGGGATGTGGTGTTGCACGCTCTCAGAGGATCATGGTTGTGCCCGGCTACCATTCTTGCACGGTATCGGGCATTGCATCCAGCGGGTGAGGCCGGGTTTTTTTTGCATGAGGTTGGTTCGGCGCTGACACGCTTCCAGTTTGCCCAAGTTTTTCGCTTGGGGCTTCAGCAGTTGGGTCTAAGGCCGGACCAATTCGGTATGCACTCCTTCTGAAACAGAGCAGCTACAGATGCCATGTGTCTGAGGCTCGTTGATGAGCTGGTGAAGAAAATAGGGAGGTGGGAATTGGTTCGGTTTCGTTCCTATGTGCGGCTGGGGATGCTGGTGTGAAGGAAAGTAGTGGGCTTGGGGGATTCTCCGCTGATTCCCCTAGGCTGATGGTCTTGTTTTGTTTCCGCAGGTCGAGTTGCTTGGATCATGGGCCATTTGTTTGTGTTCTAGGCAAAGAGGAGGGCTGCAGCTGGGCTTTCCTATGAACCAGATCTCGATTAAGTGTTTCGGTTATCGGGGAGCTGGTTGGGGTGATGTTATTGGGGCAGTGTTTCGGCTAGTCGAAGGTGGGAGGTCTCCTGATTTCCTGTTGTTACATGCAGGGGGCAATAATTTGGGCCTAATGTCGCAAAGACACTTGGTAAAATGGATGAAGCAGGATATTTGCCGGCTACGGGACTTGGTCCCTGGTGTATTGGTCATCTGGTCTGATATGGTCCCCAGACTTCAGTGGCGTCACCCCAGGGATACGGCCGCTATCAAGCATTGCTGGGGTAAGGTAAATAGCCTGATGGCCAGTTTCGTTAGGAAGGTCGGGGGGTGGTAAGTCGACACGGGGAACTCAAGGACAGGTTGCCTGGGTATTTTAGGCAGGACAGTGTCCACCTCACAGACATAGGGTGGGATCTCTTGAATCTGGGGTTCCAAGAATGGTTGAGTAGGGCCTTGTTCCTTAGGGGTGGCAGAGCTCAGACGGCTTAAAGGATTAAGGTCTGAGCTTGTGGCGGGGCTAGAAAGAAAAAAGTTAGAGGACAAACAGGAACTGGGTTAGTTTAAAAAGAATAGGGCAGTTAGGCTGCTGGTTAAGCGTTTGGTTAAATGATTCGTTACAAACTTTTGAAGGTTTCGAGCTCGGTGGTGGCTCAGAACCTGGTGGGTGGTAGGGGTATCCGGATATACCCCTACCGGGGTTATTTTACAATGTTTGGCACTTATATTATATTTATGATGTTTGTTATTATTGTTATTTATGTTATTTATATTTATGGAAAATATGGGTCATTGCCTTTTGTTTCGGGGACATATGATGTTATGTGGCGGGATGAGGGGCTGGGCAATGACTTTAATTTTATTGTTATCAACATTAATAAATCTGTGGACATATTGACCCATACCTTAGTGTGTTATTGGGTGTAGGTTTGGGGGGTAATTCCACCTGCAAATATGGCAACTATGCGCCTGTCAAGTATTGATATTTCTGGTGACCAAGAATCTGTGTGTAAGAAAATTATTTTCAGTGGTGAAGACCATGGTATACGATAAATCAGAATGCTGTGGCATTCAATTTAGAGATCTCTGCTTTAACCTGAACCCTTTTTGATTGCAGCTCTGGGGGAGCCGCAAGAGTTTAATGCATAGCAACATAATAAAGTCTAGAGTAAAGTGTCTAAGGGCGTGATGTCAATTTGTACCGATCCAAAGTTAACACATTTACAAAGCACTACATTTTAGGGGACATAAATCCAGCCCATCAATCCCTAACTGGCATTATTTTATCTCTATTACAAGCTTGTGATTTCTTAGTTATTTACTGCGTAGCCAAAAATTAGTTTGCAGGGAAAAACATAAAGTACGAACAATGTCCTTGAAATGTTAGTAAACCATAAAACCAAGAAAGGGACTATCTCCTAAACATGGTTATATCAAAAGGTTAAAAAAAATCAATTCCATCACTGTGCTTACATACAAGGAATAATATACAAAAATTTATATAGTGCCAACATATTCAGCAGAGCTATATTATAGGTAAACAAGCCAAGCATTTAATTAAGTCTAATAAAAAAAAAAAAAACGTATGATGTATAGAATCCATAGTAGTAGTTCGTGTTTTGCGTAAACTCCATGTGATCTCAGTTAATGCTACGATAAAAATAAACCGAGGTGTGGTTTTGGACAGGCCAAGCTTGTTATGATCAGCCTCAATTTCATATTTATTTCAAATGTCTTATAGGTAATAATATTCAACACCTGCTGCTGAATCATTTTCACCCTGCACTTTTGTGAGACTAATTCTTGTAAACAATTTGAAAATGACACACAGAGGCAGGATTGGGGCTGTAGTTATTATGGTGCTTTTATAATGTTTATAAAATATACAGTATATACAATAAAATATACAGTAGATACTAAAATGTCGAATAAGACCAAAGCAGCATAATTTTTCAAGTGAGTTTAATAATCAGTAGGTCATTGACCTGCTCTTCCATTCACTCTAGGTAATAAACTGATAGTTCTGTTTTACTTTATAGGGTTATTCACTAAAGAGAGAATTCACAGTGAATTCAAAGTGAATTTAAAATTTTAGGTCAATGTTTCAGAACCAGAAATTTTCTCTAATTCAGCTGTGCTTCCACTTAAGCAAATTTGACCTTATATTTGAAATGTCACTTTAGTGACTACCTTACTTCATGCGCAATAACATAGAAAAAAAGCACTGTACATCATTTTACATATTTATGTAAAAGTTTTAAAAGGTGCTGTTTCATATGAGATCAACGAGCATTCATTTTTCTTTACATTTTTTAAGTTTGAATATTTTGCTCTTAACTTGGATGTTTCTCCTAATCCCAAAATGTGTCTTTTTTGACTGCTTTTTTTTGACTGCTTTTTGACTGTATTTTGTTGCATTTTTTATTCTGTTACAGCATTTACTCTTTTCGTTCTCTGATAGGTGTGCTCTGTTGCTTCTTGTTTCGTAGATACCCAGCTGCTGTGTGTCTCAAATAACGTCAGTTATTGTTTGTTATAGAGTTCCAGCAAGCTTGCAGCTGCATGCATTCTATAGAAGATTCCAAAGGGTAGGCAAATATTGGTAATAATGGCCCAAATTGTAAACCCATAAAATTTCACTTCCAAGTCGTTGTCAAAACGAATCCTAGCTCCAAATGCAGGCATAATCCAGAACTGAAAAAAATGCATAAAAATTAATGACATATAGTATTGATAAAGTATAATGTAGTTGTATATACACAATATTTACTGAAATGTTCAAAATCCTTCTTTTCTGCAAAGCGCCTCAAGGACAATTCTTGTGTCAGCAAGTGTATCCTGCTACAGTGTTCTTACAAGACCCGTTTGTTCATAGCTAAAGCCAGTTCTGACCAGTTGAGTGCTATGTAATCTTTGTAGATGTAGGTAAGATTGTAGGAAAAGAAAAATGTGCAATTTAATCAAAACAGCAAACCCCCTCAGTATGATAAATCTTTTTCTGCAATATGATTGTTCAGGATGTCTCAACCTGTTTGCTTAATTATGTACACCCCTTATTACTGAATTATGTACACCCCTGATCAGTGGGTTCTGCTAGTTTTGTCTTGTGTTCATGTATG